TATTTCTGCCCCGGACTCTACCTATATTAGATACTGGTGCCACTTTGGAATCGTATCTGTCCATACCATCTGTCAAAGAGTCTCCCTGGTTGTTTTCCTCGTTACTAGCTATACTGCACCCGGAAGGGTCCACTTGCCCTAAAAAAAAAAGCTACTGCGCGTCCTGCAAGTTGCCAACCCCGGCCCCTCATGACCTAGCCGCCCATCGAAGTGAATTCTGTCTCGTTGAAAACCACCCCACCTATGCACCTCTCTGTTTATTTCCACCACCTCAAAGCCTTTCTCTCGACTCATCCGCCATATCTCTTGGTTTGCGTTGAAAACTGCTCTTTGCAGGTTGCTATCACGCACCGGTACCTCCGGTATCGAGCATATCACTACCTGTACCTAAGGAGAAGTGGCGCGCATGTCATCGACGCCTTTCGCCAGTGTGGTTGCTAGTCCTGCTGTATCTTGATTTAAGACATCGTTTAAACCACCTGAAATTATCACGAGGTGTGGTCTATCAGCTGTAGTTTTGAGTTTTGCGCTCGCTTGCCTCATGACTGCTTCCAGCTTGCGTCTTGGGAACCCTCTTGTCACCCTTTACCCTCTCTTTGATGGCTTCTGTGCATCAATTTAAATTCGAGTTCCCGGCGATTATCACATGCTGTGACTTTTCAGCTGGAGCGTCCTACACCTGGGGGTTGTTTGCACCTGTGACGCCGGCTGCTTTGTCCCCTCCCAGCCTTACCACTACTTCGCTGAAGCTGGGCCTTGAGACAATTGAACCGGCTGAACCTGTTTTTTTCAAACTTGCTTGCTTTTTATCTTCCGCCGTTCTTGTTGCCGGTTCCCTATTGTTCTCTCCGTAGGCTGCTTCTCTGTTCACCTTGGCTAGTACTTCCTCAGCGGACTTCAGCCTTTGCAGGGTAGCAAACCAGATGTGCGTCTGGTTAACCTCCCTGCCTTTCCTTGCATTCTCTCTCTCTCTCTCTCAGCCTTTCTCCAATCGCCCTCGTTTTCTCTTGCTCTGTCGCCAACGCAGTCTTCGCATCAGCCTCTTCTCCATCCGCTTCTACAGTTGGGTCCACTTTCAAACCCACCCCGTATCCTGAACACTTTACAGTCTTTTTAATCATGTCTTTCTGACACCAATAGTCCCTATGACTTGCCTCACTCAATAATTACACAACTCAAGCTCTGCCCTACGAGAAAGAGAATGTCTAAGCTCTACTACAAAAATTTGCGTGTTCAATGTACGTGCACCTCACCCACGGGGTGGCAAAAGAAAAGAAAACAACTTTTACACCTCGCAGCCCCACCTCGCGTCGAGAAGAGAAATCTAAAATAAACAAACATAATTGTTGTATTTTATGTCTCATTTTACGTTGAAATCTAAAAAGAATGGCGGATCTTACGTACAGTGTTCCGAAATCGATGATATGCGAAGAACGAATGAAAAATGTTGATATCTCACTTTAAAATCTGCACAACGTTACGAGGTCGAGGTAAACGATGTCGTACTAGACTTCCATGTCATGATTATCCTATTTGGATGTGTCGTTTACCTTCGTCATCTATTCACGTCACGTGTTACCAAATTGGTATGGGTGGAGCTAGCGAAATGGCCGTGAGAACGCTATGAGCATGGAATGTTGTCATGTTCTTACTTGACACGCGTGTCAGGATTATCATGTTTGCACCAGTCATATATTTAGTCATCCAATGACGTAACGTAACATGAAATGTGGTATATGTGGAGCTAGCAAAACGGCCTTGAACGCATTATGAAGGGCCCAATATACCCTAATGTAGCGTTGACGTGCGCGCATGCTGGGCGCAGCGATGCTACGATAGCAAAACGCGAGCAGTCTATAGTCTGACGCCAGGCGTGACCAGCGTCCGTCGGCGTGGCCCGACGGCAACCAGCACGAAATGCGGCATGCTGCATTTCGCGCCGATGCGTTACCCACACAACACTGCGTCTCCGTATTTTCGTGACGGAGGGACGCTGGACGCGCTGAAACGCGCATGCGTCAAAGTAACGCAGCGCGGCGCGTGCCTGCGAGTACATGGCAGCCCTGGTGCCTGGCATGGCAACGCCGGCGTGACGCGACGAAATTAACGCTGGTGAGCACGCGCACCGCGTCACGTCGAAATGTATTGGCGCTTTGACTGTGGCATGTAGTCGAGTTCTCAGATGACACGCATCTCGTGATCATCATTTTTGCGCCAGTCACATACTTTCGTCATCCATTGGCGTCACGTAATACCAAATTTGGCATATCTGAAGCTAGCGAAACGGCCTCGAGCGTATCATGAGCGTAGCATGTAGTCATGTTGTTACATGACACGCATCCCATGATTATCGTGTTATGGTCTGCCGCTTGTGTGTGCCATGCAATCATGCCATACCATACCAGTTTCCCTACATGCCATGTGAACAAAACCACCGCAAGAGCGGCAGCACCACGAAATGTAAATCAGGATATTCATGACACCCATATCATGATTTCCATTTATGACTCTTGTTATGCCGTACCAAGTTTAGTATCGATACCATGATTGAAACGGCCAGGAGAGCTCAATGTCGTAGGCATCTAGCTAGCCAGATAGATAGATAGATAGATAGATAGATAGATAGATAGATAGATAGATAGATAGATAGATAGATAGATAGATAGATAGATAGATAGATAGATAGATAGATAGATAGATAGATAGATAGATAGATAGATAGATAGATAGATAGATAGATAGATAGATAGATAGATAGATAGATAGATAGATAGATAGATAGATAGATAGATAGATAGATAGATAGATAGATAGATAGATAGATAGATAGATAGATAGATAGATACGCCCAAAGTCGCCGAAGTTTGCTAAGAAATGCTGCACATTTAAATAAAACGTTACTCCCATTGAGCGAGTGGAGAAGCGTTTGCTTGTGTGCAGACGACCATTTCGGCGAGATCCGATCTATCTGAGTGATTCGCTGAGCCGCCATATTGTTTGGACAGCAAAGTAGCCTGCATTGTATTTGTCTACGATGTGGTCTTCTCGGAGCTATATATTTTACCGGCTGGCTACTTGAGAATTAGAATGGGACTTAAGATGGCCGCCGTCCATTTAGCTGTCTATTTAGCCGTCTACGGTGAGTATTGGAACACACCCCGTGATGAACGGAACATTCAGTCGACCCACGCGCTGCTTCTCATGCTACTCATGGTTGCCTTTGGTGTGAGATGGTGCAATTTTTTTTCTTGTTCGAGCGCTTGATGATGATTTTTAGTGTGGAACCCTTTAAGGACCTAGACTTCCGTATGGTGTCATGTGCTGCCATCGTCCGGCGTCGCCCCGCCGCGGTGGTCTAGTGGCTAAGGTACTCGGCTGCTGACCCGAAGGTCGCGGGTTCGATTCCCGGCTGCGGCGGCTGCATTTCCGATGGAGGCGGAAATGTTGTAGGCCCGTGTGCTCAGATTTGGGCGCACGTTAAAGAACCCCAGGTGGTCGAAATTTCCGGAGCCCTCCACTACGGCGTCTCTCATAATCATATGGTGGTTTTGGGACGTTAAACCCCACAAATCAATCAATCAATCAATCAATCGTCCGGCGTAACGGAGGTGAAACGATGAATAGAAATAAAAAAGGGGGAGGAAAGCAATAGAAGCAAAATTTATTGAAGAAAGCAATAAATAAAAAGTAGAGAGTAAGAAAGGGGAAATAGAATGAACTGGCAAGAAAGAAAAATAAATAAATTTAGAGAACGAACGCTATAAATAGAAATAAACAAAGGTAAAAAGACAGAAAACAACGAAAAAACAGAAAGATAAAAGAATGAGGAAAGAAAGTGAAAGAACTAAGGATGCCCAGCTCTGGACTTCCTCCATACCGCGAAGCTGTCTTAACTTTTTTTCTGACTCTTTTCACCATGACAGCGCTAAGAGCTTGTTTCGCAGAAATTCTGGTGTTGGTGTCGGTTCGGGCGTCGTTGTTTGTGAGCTGAAAATCATCATGTTGCTGACGGAAAATTTGAGAAAGATGCAAATAAGATTAATATTCCTGCGTGCGAGGTAGCATCGAACCCAAGCTGTTTGCGCGGCAAGCACGTGCGCTTGCCGCGAAAACACAGCCCCACGTCTGCTTCGAAATGCAGGGGAAATAACCTACTGTGATTAAAAATTTAGTCAAAACGATGCTTAACAAACAGACGTGTTGTATACAGGTTTCACAATTAAGCATGGTATATGCCAGGAATGCTGTGTGGTACAAGTGATCGGGCGTCAGGACATGTGACTATCATAAACGTCTCTATGCGTATTACCAAAGACCACGTAGTGCCATGAGTGAATAGCAAGTTAGAAAGTATTTTGTGTGCCTAATAGCTTCTGGTTTAAACCATATGCTACCCAATACACAGAATGCAGCAACATGCGAAAACATCACTGACACAAGCTACTCTCAGCTTCATTGATTACGTTGTAATGATCCCCAATTTAAACTTCCAGAGTAGCATCGCACACACAAAAAAAATATGCACAAGGGTTTGAGTGCGCACACTTAGAGACAGGATATCACTATCACATCGAACTCCTGAAGGTGAAGCTTAAGGATTTCCCATTTTTTAAATGGAAATGTAATTTCATATTTCTTCTGTAGTTATAGAGAGAAGTATTAAGTTATACGTCGTGTTTGCTACCTGTATAGATCTGGGTATGTGGCCATTATCCGTATGTTACCTCGTAACTTTTGAATCTTCGAATAAGCATCATAGACATTGTTAATACGAGTCTGACAAGAGATGCTTCAATAAAAATATAGATTCAGGACCCGGTTTTTGTCCTACTTTCATAATAGTGATCTGATCGTTGGAGGAAACCTGTGCACAGCAGTGTCGTAAGCAAGCAATCATTCGAACAATCTCTCAACGGCGTTTTCTTCCACAGAGGGCGTAGCGCAAAGCCCTGCCACCATTAGACGCTTGACTCGATAGCGCTGCACGCAACTAAGTGAAGGGATGTGGAGCCATCGTCACCTCGTGGGTGCACGCGTCGTTTAATCTCCTCCGCGATTTCTGTGACGCGGAGAAGAAGCGCTCGACGGGACTCGCGTGGGTGGTGTTCTCGAGCGGCGGCTTGCCCAGTCGTACGAAAACGGTTTGACGCGAACGCTACAGCTGGACTGCATCGAGAACGTGAGTTTTCCCAGCATTCGTATACCCACTTGATTCGCAGCAATGGGAACGGATATACGATATCCAGGCTGTCGAAAGTGTCGCAGTCGCCAAGAAGTGTGCGTGTTCGCTCTTTCGAGGAACGCATTTCGTCGCCTCGACTTTCGCCCTGATTCGTAGTTAAGTGGCACAGAAAGACGCCGTTGTTGCGAGGCACACTGTATTTGTATGGGCCATTCGTACGATAAAGGGTGAGTTTAGAGGTACAGAAAAGCGAGTGGATGGGCGCGGCTAATTACTCCCTGCATTCTTGATGGGTCGCTTCTTGGGTGATGCTGTACATACCACTGCATGCGCCCGAGGAGTGACAAATGAATTGCTCCGTAGGAGGCATGCCCTTTCCACGCGCACCGACCTTTCGAGGTTACACAACCTATCTACGCGAAGGCGATGAACACAAGGCTCCAATCCAAGTTCAGACCTTGAAGACGTCTGTGTTTCCCGTTTAGCCGTTTAGCCCCATTCGACAGTCGTATTCGACTAACCGCTTTAGAACCTTCACTTTGTGTACATATATTGCTAGAAGGAAAAAACAGGCTTTAACTACATGTTTTACTAGGTGTTTACTACACTGTAGAGCACTCCAAGGCACTCAGCACAAGATCCGCCAGTTCTTGTTTTTGTTTGGCAGTCAACTGCGGCGCATATGAGTGTGGGAGAATCGGGCAGGAGTTTAGTGGTTTTGTAAAACATTATGAAGCTGTAGAATTAGGGAGGTTATAGTTTAGAAATATTGCAAATTAGATCGGAAATTCTGGTGCTCGGCATATAACTACACGAAGAAGAACACAAAAACACACACGAAGTCCTGTATTCTTTAGTAGTAGGTAATAAAATATAGCAATATATTGGTATCTGAATACATATGTGCGGGTGTACGCACAAATAAATAATAACACTGACTGTAGTCTCTTGCAGCCACGCATAGCTTCGCATTGAAAAATCAGAAATAAGAGCTCGGAAGGGCGAAATGATGAGACAATAAGCGAACATGGCCATATTCTGTTGCGGCCTCAGCTTGTTTCTTGCCAAAGTTTCATGCCGTTACCGATGACCAGCTCCGTCGTTGAATACTAGTAGTCATGTTGAAGTAATCACGGTGACTTCGGCAGAGATGAAATTCATCTGGTTGCGATTGCATTTAGCAAGGGCTCTTTCAACAGGTTCTGCACGCGAGCCAAAGACTTCTCGCGTTTATATTTTGTTTTTGTTGTCCACATCGAAGTCTCCTAATATTCGGGTAGTAGCCAAACCGGACCGGATAGCCTTCACCTTCGCCTCAGTCAGCGATGAATAGATGTACAAGTAAATAGACTTTACTTTTTAGAAGTGTAAATACAAAATACAACTAATTTACCGCGTCACCACGCTGAATATATGCCTCAATGTTTCCATTTTAATCAGTAACAAATGACACGTATCTACAGGTGGGGCTGGAAAAACCCATACTTAGGATTTAATCAGGTTCTTAGGGCATAATCAGGTTGAACGATTGCTTCTCAGCCTGAACCATCAGTATTTGTTTAATCTTCACTCTTTTTGCGCTGAAAAAACGTCGTCCATCATGGGACCGCTAAAACTACTTCAATATTCATCTGAATGATTGCGGTTGTGGAAAAGAATGAAACTTCAATAGCGAAGAAGACGGTGTCCGAGTAATCAGCTAACCTCCGCAATCACCACTAATCAGTTTACATCCGCCATTTGACATTCAGGACATGGCCGCTAGTGCGACATCATTACGTTTATGTTCGAAACTTACCTCTTGGCGAGAAAGCTGCGTCCACGACTAACGCAAGTGCGTGATCACTTATGATCTCCCTACAGTGAGTGAGTGAGTGAGTGAGTGAAACAACTTTATTCGGTCCACAATAGACGCGAGTAAACTCAGCGTCACCTGGCTAGGCCCACTCGGGGACCATCAGGTTAAACCTGACGGCCCTCGCGCGGGCCCTCTGGACGGCCAGGATTTGAGAGGTCTGGTCCTGGGCCTTAATGAGTCGCTTCATTTCCTCTTGGGTGAAAGGGGGGACCGGCAGAGGCGCCGCCCCACAGTACATGCTCGAAGTCCGCATAACCACCACACAGGGGGCAGTCCGGGCTTGGAAACCGTTCAGGGTACATTATCTCCCTACAGCAAAAAATTTTGATTTTATAAATTAAAGAAGCACAGGCACACGAGGCGGAAACAGGTGGAGAATCGACCATATTAAATATCAATGGTAATGGTCATGATTTCAGTTTATTTTCTTTTAAGTTTGACGAGAAAAGATTAGTCATATACAATACGTGTTGTTTGATTGCACCGCCTTCGGTGAACATGGATGAACTTTAAGATTTCAGAAAATTCGTATATAATATATTTTGTGCAGATAAGGCTCGTCCAGTTTTGGCATCGCAGCATTCTGCGCGCTGACGGCATGAGTGTGCGCGTATTTCTTTGTACAACGACCACAAAAAATTGCGATATTTGTTTCAACTTAGCCCTAATTTGTCTTCAAACTGACAAATATAACTATTTCCATGCAATTTAAGTTCATGAAAACCTATATCGACCCGCAAATAATAAAGAAGCAGAACACTAAATACACGAATGGTGGCGACATTGCCAAACTACCGCGGGGTATAAGCGAATCAAATTTTAACATTCACAGCAATATATGAAATCGTAATAGAGGAATCGATGTTGTTTTCAATCAGACAAAAATTGTCCCAAGGTCCCTAAAAACACAATCAAGTATCCTCATTGTCACAATCTCTTCGATTTGTCAGTAATGACTGGCCACGGGCAACAATCATAAACCAACGTCGCCTCGTCGAGAAATGTCGAACTGTCAGAGATTGAGAATTGAAGAGGCCCGCTGGAGAAACCAAATATGTATTACCCGTCGAACAGAGTCATGGACATTTTGTTGAACGCGTGTAATACTTTGTCATTCAGAGTATTTTATGCCATCCCACGTATTTTGCATGCAGCTGTATTATCTCACAATACAGCTAAGCAGCCGCATTGCAAGTTTAACAGTAACTTTGTATTTATCTGAGTGCATAGATTTCAAATAGAGGAAGAGAATTCAACGGAGAAAAAGAAGAAGGTATTCTATAAGGTGTATGTCCTTAGCCTGTGTTCCGAGACAACATCCATGCCGATTCCTCAAGGTGCACTGCCTTGGTTTAAAAAGGGTCAACCAACCAACCAACATGAATTCAAAAAAAAAGGCGATGCCGCAACTGTCGTCCTACTCTGCACTGACCGGTTCTCTCTGACATGCGCCAATTCCATTCTCATCTCTCCTCTTTGTCACTGCTCCGTCGAAAACGACGCATACGATGAGGCCTCTCATATTGGCCAACGCAGCGGACAAGCGGACAGGACGGACTGAAGTAGACAAGTGCACGCACTCACCATCCTCTCTGCTTCGCGCCGGGCCCGTTCTCGTGGATCGCTAACAAGCGGGACTTTCCGTACTCGCATAATTGTGAAGTGAGTCGGAAAAATAATGTCACATTGCGCAAGCAAGCGGAAAACGAAAAATTGCGACGCACTGCCGAGGCGAATGTTTAGTGTATATTTGCAGTGATAGGACGAAAAGTGATTTCTATACATGTGCGAGGGATAATGAGCCACCCGTCAGCAAGTAGTACACGTACACGCGAAATGAAAGAAAAACGCGGATGAGAGGTCCTTGAATAAAGATATCTCTTCGCCAATTAACTGGCCGCGCTTGTGGCGGCAGAAGGAAGAGCGCCGATAGGCGTTCTATGCGCGTACGTCTAAAGCCAAGCCTTCTCGCTTGGATAGCCGTTTAACGTCACCGTCAACTTTCTTTTCGTTCGCAGGTGCGTGTCGGGAGCTCACGTAATGGCGAATCCGCTTATGGCGCGTTGCGACACGCCTCTTTTGTTCTTTTCGTGGCGCGTGCATCGCACACCTAGCTGGACTCGCGACGGTGCGTCATCGGGTTGTGCGTTCCTGTCGTTTACGTTCTCGTCACGCATATACAGACTGGTGCCTACTATAGAGTGCGTATCTCTTACAGTCCGGGCCACACAGCTGACGGTTTTTTTTCTTACCAAGAGGATCAACGTGCTATTGAGGATTGCCACAACGGTGAGTCTTCTGTGCTGCTTGTGACAGGACAGGGATTTCCGGGTACACAAGTAACTGCTTCGCATATCTGGACTCGCTTAGCTTGCTTTGTGTAAAACCACGATTTCTCGGAGCATGTCGGCTGCTCTGGGGCCATTTAGCACGTTAAAGAGCATCAAATGGTCCCTATTTCCGGAGCAATTCAGTCTCGAGCATAATCATATCGTTCTGTAGGCGCATGAAGACCCAGTTACTATATTGTTGCACATATGCGCGAGAAAAACAGACTGGTAGAGAGAAAGAACACGACGACGCTGGCAGATCTGACCCGTCAGCCTCTCATGCGGTCATCTTCGCACCTAATAAAAGCGGCCCCTTTAGCCGCACACGTCTCGGTCTCATTTGTGCACTACAAAGCTACGAGGTCATTTAATGTCGTCGCCGTGGTTTGCCAGACCTACAGGGCAAACAAGCTATCTATGATTTTAAACGATAGCCGCCGCACAAAACTGGCGTGACAAGAAAAATAAGTCGTAACAGTGCACCACACATCAACGTTTCAGTTATAGCAACAGAATTTGGTGATATGTGGGTTTAACATCCCAAAACCACCGTATGATTATGAGAGACGCCGTACTGGAGGGCTCCGAAAATTTTGACCACCTGGGGTTTCTTATTGTGCACACAAATCTGAGCACACGGACCTACAGCATTTTTGCCTCCATCGAAAATGCAGCCGCCGCAGCTGGGATTCGATACCGCGACCTGCGGGTCAGCAGCCGAGTACCTAAGCCACTAGACCACCGCGGTGGGGCCGAGCTACAGGAAGTTAGTGGATGACGTATGAAGTTAAAGGTTAAAACGTAAAGCTTGCATCGATTTAAATCACCGACCGTTTCCCATGACCATCATGACAGTTTTACGGGGCAGCTCCTCTACAGTAGTGCTCGAGTTGTATACCCGGACAACTAATGAGAGCTTTGAAGTCTAATGCAACAGAGCGAGCTATCCTTGTAGTCGCTGTAGGATGGAAGCAGCAACGACCCTTTCATCGCAAGGAATTGACATCGAGTATACTAAATGCTCACCATGATTAAGACTACTTACCATAAACTTACACCTGTTGATTGCGAGTGTTTCAAGTAAGTATGCCGATCGCGGGTGTGTCATGGCACGAGTTCACTTTTTGGGTGTAGCAAAGACGTCCTCGAGTTTAATTTTTCAATCGGGCGAAACTCAGCTGGTTACGTATCTCAAGTACAAGAGTTTATTCATTGCTGGTGGCGCAGCTTTTCACAGAACAGTGTGAGGACGTGTTATTTCTGTGTTTCGATCGCGCACGTCTAATGCGGCTTTCTCAAGATCTATCAGCTGCCCGGTTAGAGTGCACTCCGCGTATGGCAGATCGTTCTCGAACGTCACCGTCCTCATCAGATAGATTTCCGTGTCGTGTATTGTAAATGGGCCAATGAATGTTAGCAGCACATTTTGGTCCATCGACGAAAAGTACTTCGCGTTATGGAGCCGATCCAGTGCGTCGTCTATTCGTAGGAGAGGATACACGCCATTTTTTGTGATTTTGTTGAGGCGGCGATAATCGACGCAGAAACGTAGGGTTCCATCCTTCTTCTTCACTAACACCATGGGGGACGCCCATGGACGGCTGGATGATGTCATCTCGTAGCATTTCATCAACTTGTCTCTTTACGGCCTCGCGTTCTTGCGTCGAAACCTTGTAAGGACTCTGACTTAGTGGTATGGCATTTTCCTCGATTATGAGGCGATGTTTCGAGATTGGGGTATGCCGAATTTTTGATGACGACGAAAAGAAATCTTCGTACTGCAGGAGCAGGGTCTTGAGCTCTTCTTGCTTATGGTTCGGAAGACTGGGATTGACGTCAAAAGCTGAGGGAGGGGCTTGGTTCCTCTGAGCAGGTTCCGCAAAATCGGCGAGGGCGAAAGCACTGGTGGCTTCCACAATTTCTTCGATGTATGCGACCGTCGTTTCTTTGTTCTCGTGTTCGTACTAATTGCTGAAATTCGCGAGCATAACCGTCACTTTTCGTCCCCGCATCTCAGCAATACCTCTTGCGACGCAGATGTTGCGGGTGACCAACAGATACTGACTGCATTCAACGACGCCTTCCAAGTCAGGTGATTTCGGAGCGCCGACTGAAATATTGACGCTGGAGCGAGGCGGAATGGTCACTCGTTCTTCCAGCACATTCAAGGCGTGGTTCCCTGACGGCGTGCGCGGCGGTAGTGCTTCTTCTATGGACAACGTTATCGACTTTGCTCTCAGATTGATGACTGTACCATGGATGCATAAGAAGTCCATGCCAAGGATGACGCGTCTCCCGAGCAATGCTGTAGGACTACGAAGTCTGCAGCATAAATACGGCGGTTGATGGTGACTCTCGCTGTGCATATTCCTGCCGGCGCGACTAGAGGACCTCCGGCTGTGCGGAATTCGGGGCCTTCCCAAGCTGTCCTAACTTTCTTCAACTTTGTGGTGAACGACCCACTGATGACGGAATAGTCGGCTCCAGTATCGACAAGAGTGGTCACATTGTGGCCGTCGATAAGAACGTCGAGGTCGCTAGTTCACCGTCCTGTGTTGCAGTTAGGTCGTGGCGTCGGGTCACGGCTGCGTCGGCTTGTTCCGCTGCTTCCATGTTGCGTCGTCAGGTCGTCTTCGGTAAGTGAGGTTTCGTTGTCAGGACTTTGCCTGGTTGGCGTCGTGTTCGGAAAGCTCCGTCGCGGCGTCGTCGTCGTCGGAGGAAGATCTTCGGTAGTTTGTCGCACAGCAAGCACACCTCCATTGGTTGCTGCTCTTAGTTTCCGGGATACGGACTAGGAGACCAGCCCCGCGTTGGGCCAGAGTACTGCCGGTGGAGCGGTGACATGTGGCGGCAGGGCGACGGTGAACGGGAAGGACGTCATGGTGTCCATTGCGTTTCTGCCAGGTAGTCGGCGATGTCACGTGGCCGTTCCCCTGGCTGCGGACATGGTGCATTGACGGCGAAGCCATGCAGTCCCATTCGTCGGTACTGACAACGGTGGTAGGTGTGGCCAGCTTCCCCTCTGTGGTAGCAGAGTGGGCGGTGAACGGGGGTGCGCCACACATCTGTCTTTCTCGGTGTGTTGCGCCGGCTTGCAAGTGGGTGGTATGGCGTTGGTAATGGTGGCGGCGGTGTCTGGCAGAGTCTGGCGCTGTCTGGCGGTGGAATTGCGGTGATACGGCGTCTTGACGTGGGCGTGGTGGGGGAGTGCTACGACGCACTGCAGCAGCGTAGTTCATAGCCTGCGGATCAAACTGCGCTGCAGGTTCGGGAATTCCCAACGCTTGCTGGACTTCTTCACGAACAATGTCAGTGATCAAGTGCACTCGAAGCTGCGATTCCGGTAACATCTTACGAAAATTTCACGCACAATCGCGCGGATGGTCTCGCGCAGATCATCGGCTCTGTGGGCTTCAACGCCGGCGTAGTTCGTTGTCATTGAGTGGCGGTCGTACGGCCTTGTCCGCATCTCAAGCGCCTTTTTTATAGTTGTAGGTTCCGCGAGGAACTCGGCGACCGTCGTAGGTGGGCCGCGGACAATTCCTGCCAAGGGTTTTTGTTTAACAGCCCGCATAAGCTGCCGAAGTTTCTGTTGTCTTCGACCATATTAGCATCAGCAAGTCAGAATAGTCGGGTCATCTCTTCCGTGAAGATGGCGACTTTTTCATTTGGCAGTTGTACTCGGGTTTCTAGCAAGGAAGTGGTTCTCCCCTGCCGGACGATACTCGCGAAATCTGTGCAGGAATGCACTGCGGAAATCGTTCCGGGTTTGAAGGCTCTCGGCTTTCAAATCATGTTTTTGCCGAGTGTCCCAAGTAAAAGTAGGCTTGTCGCAGCTTGTCCTCAGTGCTCCAGTTGTTAAACGCAGCGAAATGGTCGTATGCCTCGAGCCAATTTTCCGTGTCTTCGAGGGATGTACCGCGGAAAGTTGGTGGCTCCTTGAGAGGCTGGAGCAAAATTCGTGCAGCTTGCGCAGGAGCTGTCATTGTCGCCGTGTTGAAGGTCGGGGTCGTGGTTTGCCGGGTCTTTGATGCCCACACTCTGGCGGCAGACCCAGTTGACGGTGGCTTGTTCGTTGCTCGGGGTTTGCGTCGATGTCCCCTTTTTGGCTTGGGCTGGTTTCTCGGCTTGACGGGGGCGTCCGGTACATGAAAGTGGCAGGACCTCCACCAGATGTCACGGCGTCGTGGCGTTGATGAAAGGAGCAGACTTCAGGTCGAAAATGAAACTTCATTCAGGCCGCACTTGTGGCCACGTGAAAGGAAAGTCAGATTACAGCAGGACACTGGCACTGATAGCGGCGAACATAGCGTCAGCCGTCGATCAACTGAAAAGCGGCGAAGCGCGTTGGCATTTATACACTTGCCATCAAATGTTCTAGCGTTATCGTTAGTGGTGACGTAGGTTCCAGAATAATCTGTATAGTTCGGGGAGTGAACGTGATCTTATCGAAATGATATACTACAATCCTGAAGCTTCTCGAACACTGCAGGTGCGGTTTGCGCTGAGAATTCCGTAGTGTTACGGGGCGATAAGAAAGCTTGAGGAAAGGAACGTGGCAATATCATTATCGAAACGGCCAGGAGAGCTAAAAGTAGTAAGCAGATAGATAGATAGATAGATAGATAGATAGATAGATAGATAGATAGATAGATAGATAGATAGATAGATAGATAGATAGATAGATAGATAGATAGATAGATAGATAGATAGATAGATAGATAGATAGATAGATAGATAGATAGATAGATAGATAGATAGATAGATAGATAGATAGAATAGATAGATAGATAGATAGATAGATAGATAGATAGATAGATAGATAGATAGATAGATAGATAGAAACACTACATAAGTTCGATGTAGTGGAAGGAGGTTCCATACGGTATTTTGTTTGACAGGTGTCACGACGAAAACGAGCCCATTCGGTGATTTGTTGGCGGATATGGGAGGCCATCA